CAGGAGATTGAGACCATCCTGGCCAACATGGCGAAACTCCGTGTCTACTAAAAATACAAAAATTAGCCGGGTGTGGTAGTCCCAGCTACTCAGGAGGCTGAGGCAGGAGAATTGCTTGAGCCCAAGAGGCAGAGGTTGCAGTGAGCTGAGATTGTGTGCCATCGCACTCCAACCTGGATGACAGAGCAAGACTCCGTCTCAAAAAAAAAAGAAAAGTATAAGGAGTATTCACATTTCTATGAGATCTGTAAATTTAGGTTAGAAAATTTAGTTAGCTATGTTTTGTAATAGTCATATAAATAAGCACAAAGACCCTCCATCCTTCTTTCCAGCATGTGACAGTGGAAGAAAAGGGTAATAAAGTAGATTTTTTGTTACTCTCATTGGTAAAAATTTATCTGTCCATGAGAAGGTTAACACTGAGTTTACCATCTTGATGATTCCATATGGTTCCTAGCAATTCTGATCTCAAGGTTGGTGGGCAGAATGTTTAGGTCTCTGGGTAGAATATCTTCTGTGCCTTTTCTGTGAATTGTAAAATTACATTTGGGAAATAAAGAAAAAAAATCCCTGATTATCCCACTACAGCAATACAACCACTGTAATCATTTTGGTATGCAGTTGTGTTGCATTATGTGAATTTTCTGATTTTTGTATGTCCACCTGTGCTCATTTGAACTGTATCCTCTCCCCGCTTCCCACACCCTGTTTTCTCACTCCTGGAGTGAGCCTGGGCAGTGGGGATGAGACTTGCCTGTGGCTTCAGTTTGTTTCCTTTTCTAAGTTTCTCTGAGTGGGCATTCACTGTGCTGGCTGTGATTCTGTTATTTAAAGCAATATATTTTCATACCTTATGGCCCTTAAATGCAAGCCAACCTCTTCATCTGGTGTCAACCAAAGGAAAAGTGATTTGTTGCAGCGCTGGAGGACAAACTGGCAATGTTGGACTTACCTAAATTGAAAGATGGTATGTTGTTCTTCACCTTGGGGTCTTCAAGTATGATTTTGACAGTGCATGGTTTTTATCTCACATGCTGACTTTTGTCTCTAACCCCTGAGTTAGATGCAATTTAATTCCAGTCCTTTTTCCTATATGCATTTTACATAATTATCCATAAGGGTATGTTCATTTTTAAGGCTCTTAAAATATACTATATCAAGTATCTTTCCATATTGCTATACAATTTTTGTAGCCGTCATTTATAACAGGACATTTTAGTTTTCATCTTTTCAGAAGAATTTTGGGAGCTGGTATAATCAGCTCCTGAGAATGCTTTCTAATTTGCATACTCAGGTCTACTCACAATAGTTCTGCCATAGATATTTTAAAATAGAAGCAACTGTTATGCTGCTAAGTTGAATATTTCTTAACTAGGCTTATTAACAGGGGCATAGATGTATGTTTTCAGGCATATGGGACTCTTTCTGTAACTGAGCTTGTAGAGTTTAGAATTAAGATTATTTAAGTTAGTCTGTGATCTTGTTGAAGAGTGAGAGGCTAGAGTGTAGTGGTTAAAAACTTCAACTTGAATCTGGACTGCTTGCATTTAAAACTCAGTATTGGTATTTACTTGGTTACTTTGACCAATTTACCTATCCTTTTTTTGCCTTCTTCTCCATGGCTAAAATCAGGCTAATAATATTTACCTCATAAGATAGTATTGTGAATATTAAATCAGTATATACAAAGTATTTAGAATAAAATCTTGAAGCAACAAGTTCTATGTAAATATTACTTACTTTCATTGTCTATTTTTCTAATTGCTGAAAATCCTTATGGCACAACCATGAGTCTTGAACACACAAAATACCTTTTTTTTTTTTTTTGCAAACGTTTTAGGCAGTATAGTTAAACCTTAAATTTCTGTTCTTGTTTGATAGCTAAAGTTTCAGTCAGAATAAATTTAGTGTTGGGCTTGTGAATATAATATTAAATCTGAAGTATGTTGTCAACATACAGTATTGCAGGGTTGATGTCTAGAAATGCTATATTAGATTCCCATAATGTTTTCTGTATCTTTTTCTTCCCAGTGTCTACTTGTCCTTTAGCAAAGTATGAACATTGTCATGAATCTTTTCTCTCTCTGTCCACAGTTTCTGTGTGCGTCTCTGGGCCACAGTAGTTACTTCTTTAAGCACAGAAAGGAAACTTAGAGCTTTGCCAGTTTTGGTGTTTGTTCCCTATGTTTTTCATCCGGGCAGCTATGGGGAGGGTTGCTTTCCACACATCTGGGTACTCCACTGATATGTTCTGTAGAAGTAATCAACACACTCGAGAGTACACCTGCTTGTTCCGTGGCTAACCCTTTCTGATTGTGGACATACATTTGAGTGTTTGCAGTGGATATTTGGTGCTAACAGTTGTCTTAGTTCCTTCTGTTATTCTGTAATGTTTCCCAAGAATATTCAGAATTGTTTATAAAATGCAGAGTGATTTATGTATTAGGAGTTCACTGAGTTTGACCAAGAAGATTCACTTGAAAGGAATTAAGTAACAAAACAGTTTCCATTGTTAATAGGATATGCACGCTGTTTCTCTAAAGTACTTTTATTTCTTCAGAGTTATTAAGCAGAGGAGACTGATTTTGTGGTAAGTTTGGAGGGGTTAGTTTTAATCCATGTTGGTCAAAGTTGTGAAAGTAGATTAGAAAATCTGTTTCTCATCCTACAGTAGTGCTGAGGTTTCTAGTAGATTGTTTTTCTTCTTCCTAGTCATTTTCTGAAACTCGAAGCAAGGATCAACCCATACCATTGTAATGTTTCATAGTGAACTTGGAGTATTTAACAAGTCTAAAATCAAAGTTTATTATTAGTAGTAAAACATTTTAAAGCCATTCATTTCATGTGGCAAGGAATTTTAACTCATTTCACCAAATGTGGTATGTTTTTAAACTTATACTTTCTATTGCTCTAGTTTTATTGATCTTTGATACATTGATTCAGTGATATCAGTTTCCTATTGTTATATATACTTTGTGGTCAAAATTATCATAGGGTTTTGTGTTTTTCTTTGCCTGAGTTTTGTTTCTCATCTGAACATCACATCTTTTTCTTGCTGTTCCATTTACACAGTGTCATTCTTAGAGATGAGCTTCTTTATCCTCTGAGGCAGTGGAGGAAGCATGGAAACCACATGGGGAGCATTGCATTGACAAGTTTATTTTTGTAGTCACATGGTGGCAGTATCAGGGAAATTACAGGAACTGGTTAGATTCGAGTTCAGCAACCTATAAATCCCAGGACTTCCCAGTCTCGTGGATCATAGGACCTCAGGTGATCCGCCTGCCTTGGCCTCCCAAAGTGCTGCAAGTTACACTTGCTTAGGAGTAAGGTGAAGGGTATTTTATAGCTCTAATGGTTTGTACAATTCTTAAACATGTATTGATTGCTAACAACTGCTGTCTTTCTCCCAGCTTGCCCCACCACCAGTCTTTGTGCATAAGCACAAATTTGGACACAGTTATTTGTACTTATTTATGCTTTTACACCTTCTTCCTTTTATAAAGATTTTAGCTGGTTTATGACTTGAGTTGAAACAAGGAAAAAAAGAGGAGACCTGAAATGGTCTGTCCCCTGCCAACCAGAAGCCTCCTGTGGTATCCAAACAGAATAGTTGCCTCAGTCTGTCAGCACTTCTGTCTTTGAAGGTGGTTTCTGCTTGAAAAGTGGTGACTATTAGCATAGCCTGGGGATATTTGCTTTTTTTCTTTCGGGATACTTTTTTTTTTTCTAGATACTTTCTTGCTCTTGTCGACTTTGTTTTTCTGAAAGATTTAGCCTGTGGTTAAAATGTTTCGGGTCCCCACATGAACTCTCTGTGGGATTACCCAATTCTGGGGTACCTTCACCAGATCACCAGTGCTAAAGAGGGCAAAGGATCTTCTTGGTTAATAGAAAAGACTATTTTGGAATGAATCTCAAAGTCCAGAAACATCGAGACTTTCCTTCAGTACTTTTTTCTATTTGGGGTAGCAACTTTACTTAGTGTAGGGGAGGGATGGGTTAGTTGGGAGGGCTTGTGTTTAAGGGGTTCAGAAACAGGGGATTTAAGTGTGTCTTTTGTGTTTGCAAGGCACTAACACCACTCCCGTCTGTATTTAAATGCTGTCCCCAGGTTACGACTATGGCTATGTCTGCGTGGAGTTTTCACTCTTGGAAGATGCCATCGGATGCATGGAGGCCAACCAGGTTGCTTTATACTTCGGTCAAATGATGCTGGAAGGATATATTTTTTTATATATGGGGAGGGAGGGTTTCAAATGATTTCACTTTGGAAAGGTACAAGAAGTCTGTCTTTGGAGCATACTGCATTCCAACCATCAATTGTGAGGAAAATCTTTAAAAAGGCTGGAAAGCTTTCTCTAGAAAACTTAATGGGCACAGAGTGCATTTTAAAAGCTAGAGCCCAGTTGCTTTTGGATTAGATTCCAAAGACAATAGTTGGGGGGGAAAAATGACACATCTGGAGTGTTTCCTCTTGGAGTGTGACTGAGATGGTAATCCTGATGCAAAGAATGATCCTTGATTATCTGTGACCCCAAGGATCTGCCTAGCACGGAAATTCTAGGTCAGTAGTTACACCCAGACCTAGGGTGAAGACCTCAGATGGTGACTCCTATGGCATCAGGTCCTGCCTGCAGGGACTACTTCCAAAAGACAGCTATCAGGGAAGAGAGAGGAGTGGATTGTTGGTGTCTATTGCATTCATCATTGTTCTTTGCCAGTTGGAGTTGCATACTCAAGTCCTTGGCTGCGTATAGTCAGAGCTCATGAATCAGAATCTGTACTCACCTTACGTTTGAACTATCTGGAGTGATTCAGCTTGCCACCTAGATTTTTCATCTATGTCTTTAATTGAACCCTGCCTGGTAGTTTTGGGAGGAATTTGTAAATGGGTAGAATCCTTCCTGTTACGGTGTTTCCTTGGGGAAAGTTGTTTTCTTTGAGTTGTTTCAGTTCCTCCGTCTGTAAAGTAGGAAAAGAAACAGGAATGTAGTTTGATTTTTTTTTTTTTTTAATGTATCCACTGCCTGTACTTAATAGTGTGAATACAGTGGGCCCAGAATCTTTTTTTTTTTTTTTGGCTCTTGTTGCCAAGGCTGGATTGCAATGGTGCGATCTCGGCTCACCGCAACCTCCGCCTCCCTGGTTCAAGCGATTCTTCTATCTCAACCTACCGAGTAGCTGGGATTACAGACATGTGCCACCATGCCCGGCTAGTTTTGTATTTTTAGTAGAGATGGGGTTTGTCCACATTGGTCAGGCTGGTCTCGAACTCCCGACCTCAGGTGATCCGCCTGCCTTGGCCTCCCAGAGTGCTGGGATTACAGGCATGAGCCACTGTGCCCAGCCAGGCCCAGAATCTTAAAAGAAGGCTCTGCCAGGGAAGAGTAGTTATTACATGAGAACTCTTCTCCTTCTCTAGCCTGATGCTTTGTTCAGCTTTGTTTAACTCAGTGTGGCTCATTATACGTACTTTTCTCTTCTTGGCCAAGTTCTCCTCTTATGGGTATGGAGATGACATGCTGTAAATGCTTTGGGAGCAAGCACTCATTAGAGAAGACTTTTGATGTGTCCTTACCTTGTTAGTAGTCTAAGCTTATCAGATCCTTAGAGAATGATGGGCTTAGGACCGTATACCCTAGATTTAAGAGGATTCTCATTGACCATTTGTTCAGTGTCCATCACTGAATCACTTACCAAATACAGTTGACACTCTGTCCACAGGTTCCACACCCATAGATTCAACCAAATGCTGATTGAACATATTCAGGAAAAAGATACATTAATAATACAACAATAAAAAATAATACAGGCCAGGAGTGGTAGCTTACCTCTGTAATCCCAACATTTTGGGAGGCCCAGATGGGAGGATTGCTTGAGGCCAGGAGTTCGAGACCAGCCTGGGCAACATAGGGAGACTCCATCTCTACAAAAAATAAAAGTGAAAAATGTAGCCAAGTGTGGTGACGTGAACCTGTAGTCCTATCAACTTGGGAGGCTAAGATGAGAGGATTACTTGAGCCCAGATTGAGACTGCAGTGAGCTGTGATCACTCTGCTGCACTCTAGCCTGGGGTGACAGAGCGAGACCCTGTCTCAAAAAACAAAAAAGTACAGTTAACTATTTATATAGTCTTTATTAGGTATTAGATATTATAAGTAATTTAGAGATGGTTTAAAGTATATTGGAGGATGTGTGTAGGTTGTATGCAAATACCATGTGATTTTATATAAGGGACTTGAGCATCCTGAGATTTTTGTGTCCTTATGGGTCCTGGAACCAATCCCCCATGGACACCAAGGGACAACTGTACTAATCACGTGTCAGAAACTGCTACATGCCAATTTTGAAGAGAAGAAAAAAGCTTCCAATCTGTGTGCTTACGATGGATCCTATTCTGACAATCTGTCCGATTTTGAGAACACTCATTAATTCATAAGCAACTTGTTTTTATCAGTGAATAGTGATTAAGTCCTTTGCCTCTGTACTAAGTACTCAGTGTAATAACTGATAGCTGAATGCTGTAAAGAAAACGAAGCAGGGTATTGGGAGAATGCATCATGGTGGCAATTTTAGAGGGGTGGTCAGGGAAACTTCTTGAGGAGTGACATACATTTGAGTTGTGACTCATGGTGAATAATGTATCCAGAACACTTACTATAGTACCCTGCACTTGGTAGCATTTGAATTAGTTTGAAATTCGATGTCTTTCTTTCTTTCTCTTACCCTCTTCCACATGTCAAGTAATTTCCAATTATAAATTTTGTGTGTGTGTGTGTGAGACAGAGTCCAACCAGGCTGGAGTGCAGTGGTGTAATCTTGGCTCACTACAATCTTAACCGCCCGGGTTCCAGAGATCCTGCTGTCTCAGCCTCCCCAGTAGCTGGGACTACAGGTGTACACCACCACGCTTGGGTAAAATTTTTTTTATTTTTTTTTTGAAATGGAGTCTCGCTCTGTTGCCCAGGCTGGAGTGCAATGGCACGATCTCAACTCGTTGCAACCTCTACTTCCTGGGTTCAAGTGATTCTCCTGCCTCAGCCTCTTGAGTAGCTGGGATTACAGGTGTCCGCCACCACATCTGGCTAATTTTCGTATTTTTAGTAGAGACGGGGTTTCACCATGTTGGCTAACTCCTGACCTCAGGTGATCCACCTGCCTTGGCCTCCTAAAGTGCTGGGGTTACAGGTGGTGAGCTACCATGTCCTGCCAACTTTTGTATTATTAGTAGAGATGGGGTTTCACCATGTTGGCCAGGCTGGTCTTGAACTCCAGACCTTAGGTGATTTGCCTGTCTTGGGCTCCCAAGGTGCTGGTATGACAGGCACGAGCCCCCGTACCTGGCCTCCAATTATAATTCTAAGAAAATAAATTTATTTTTATATCTGAAGTTTATTAAAACTAATTCTTTAAGGAAATGGGTGTGGATTAAGCTCCTTATGACATAGTAAACAATCTTATGAGAGACATAAGAATGTGAGGCTGGCCGGGCGCGGTGGCTCAAGCCTGTAATCCCAGCACTTTGGGAGGCTGAGACGGGCGGATCATGAGGTCAGGAGATCGAGACCATCCTGGCTAACATGTTGAAACCCCGTCTCTACTAAAAAATACAAAAAACTAGCCGGGCGAGGTGGCGGGCGCATATAGTCCCAGCTACTCGGGAGGCTGAGGAAGGAGAAAGGCGTAAACCCGGGAGGCGGAGCTTGCAGTGAGCTGAGATCTGGCCTCTGCAGTCCAGCCTGAGCGACAGCGAGTCTCCGTCTCAAAAAAAAAAGAAAAAAAGAATGTGAGGGAAGAAGTCCTGACTCCTCAGGGTGAATAAAGTAAATATTTTGGGAGGCTGAGGCGGGCGGATCCCGAGGTCAGGAGATCGAGACCATCCTGACCAATAAGATGAAACCCTGTCTCTACTAAAATACAAAAAATTTAGCCAGGCATGGTGGCGCGTGCCTGTAGTCCCAGCTACTCGGGAGGCTGGGGCAGGATAATTGCTTGAATCCAGGAGGTGGAGGTTGCAGTGAGCCAAGATCACGCCACTGCACTCCAGCCTGCTGACAGAGCAAGACTCCGTCTCAAAAAAAAAATTAAATTAAATAAATAAATAAATAAATAAATAAATAAATAAATAAAAAGATAAAGTAAATATCTGTGGAAGATAAAATGTGTTTGTAGGCCGGGCACTGGCTCAAGCTTGTAATCCCACCACTTTGGGAGATTGAGACAGGAGGACCACTTGAGCTCAAGAGTTTGAAATGAGCATGGGGCAAATAGTAAGACCCTGTCTAAATTTAAAAAAAAAAAGTCTCTGTCTATCTTTTCCCCCAGTTTTACTTACAGACCAAATTGGTACAGATTCTGAGTCACCACGGTCTGCTTGGCAACTCTTAGAGCCTGAGTATGTGTGTGCCTCTGGGAAGGTTACTCCAAAGTACTTTGGGTTGAGTTTTTTGTAACTCTTTGCTATCCTGACACTTGATGTGAAATGTCTTTTATTTCATTGCTGGGTACTTGTAGGCCTAGGGGATGGAAATAAAGGAACTTTCTGCTAGCTTGCTTTGTCAAATATTGTTGGGTAGGTGTGCCTTCGTGAAGTTGCTCAAGATGATAACCACGGTCCCTCTAGCCTTTTCCCAGTGCCTATATCAAGCTGTCAAACAGTAGAATGCTCTGCAGCAGTACTGAGCTTTGTGGCTGTGGTGACCCACCAGGGTATCACTTAGGCAACAGCTGTCTGTCTGGGGAAATAAGAATGTATGAATCTGTTAGCCTATACCATCACCATTTCCATCTAGGAGAAGGGGGCAGCCAGCAAACACTGTCAGGCAGAGCCTTTCATTCCACCCTTCCTGCAAAGTGTATTTCTAGCCCTGTCATATGCCCTTGGCTTTCTTTGTTGTCAAGTCTCTGGGAGATTGAGGGTACGTATTATCTCCTGCTTTGTGTGCCATTGCACTGGGACTTGGGGAGGGGAGTAAGAAGTATTGTGTTAAAATGTTCATCCCTTTCAGTGGTTGCCCACTTGTGAGTACTAGCCCTCTCAGACTGTTGGCATTTGATGTGCAGGAATTAACATTTTATTTTCTCAAATATGCTGGTGTGATGCTTGTTGTCTGTTCTTATTTGGCCAAATTAGTCACTAAAGTGCCCTTATAGAAGATAACTCTGGGAGACGTATGTATTTCTCT